AAAGGGAATCTACATAAGAATGATGCATATGTGAAAGAGAATCTACATAATAATGGTGCATATGTGAAAGGGAATCTACATAAGAATGATGCATATGTGAAAGAGAATCTACATAATAATGGTGCATATGTGAAAGGGAATCTACATAAGAATGATGCATATGTGAAAGAGAATGTACATAATAATGGTGCATATGTGAAAGAGAATCTACATAAGAATGATGCATATGTGAAAGAGAATCTACATAATAATGGTGCATATGTGAAAGGGAATCTACATAAGAATGATGCATATGTGAAAGAGAATCTACATAAGAATGGTGCATATGTGAGAGAATCTACATAAGAATGATGCATATGTGAAAGGGAATCGACATAAGAATGATGCATATATGAAGGATGTTGTTGATAAAATTGTATTCGTTTTGGATACCGCACTCAAGCTGCTTACAATATCCGGTATTGTTATCACATAGATTTCAAAAACAAGTTCGTGAAGTATTTAAACGAATTGCTATAAGCAGCTATGCATAGTCTGCCCTCTCCACACGATATATTGGAATGTCAGGGATAATATTGTCAATACCATAAAATAAATGCTTTGTCAGGTTCTTTGGCAAGTTCAAGCTGTCAAATAACAGTGGCCTAGAAATCCTTTTCTATGATTGGCCAGATTTTGCTTGAGATGAGTGGTTGTTATGACGATACTACGGGTGATTTTTTCGCATCTATTCTCAATGTATATTTATGCAAATTGACATATATGCCCGTGATTTCCTGGTAGTCTGAGCAGATCCCTTTTCCTGATATATCATAATTACGAGTCTATTATTGGTTTGGGTAGCATTGCCTGGCGTTTTTATTTATGTGATGCAATGATGAATGCAAGTCTACTGCCTCATTGGCTACCACTTGCTGCTTGTTGTGTTCTGTATCCATGGTCGTGAGTGATTGTGTGATCTAAGTGATCCAAGATTTTATCAGTTCTCATGCCAAGCGTAATGTCTTGCAATGAGAAACAGTCTGACCGCAAGAGGGCGCTCTCAAAGAAAATGGCGGATGATCGAAAAAAAACAGCTGTTATACTTAGAACATATCATTATCGATGAGACAAGATTCTAACTAGAGTACTTTAAGAACGTGTCTTATTCAGAATTAACAAAATATTAAAACCTTGAAGTGAACGATGATCTACGAGACCATCAATCATCATTTGAGAATAAGATGAATAATGTGGTTTTGACGATTTTCAAACATAATCCTGGATAAGGTTATCGAAAATGATTCACGCAAAGAGCTTGGTTACTACACTATGACGGTGAAGGTTTGTATGATCTACGCTGCCTAGTAATACAAAACAGCTGTACACAAACTTACTGAATGTTTCACACTGATACTATGGGTGCAAGAT